CATTCCAGGAATCGCTATCGAGTGTACATGCCACGCGCTAAGCCAGTCGCTAAACTAACCGATGAAAAGAGCGGAGAGCATTTATCTCTGAAGAATCGAACTGAAAAAATGTTTGGCGAATTACTGGGCAATTATGTTAAGCGTAAAACCCGAAAGAATCGCCAAAATAAAGATGCCATACGTTTCACATGCAACACAATAGTCCAGCAATCTGCGGTGCTTCTTTTATTCTTATGCCCACGTTCAAAGCACTGAAAAAAATTAATTTTTTTATTTAATAGATTTAAAGCAAAATAGTTTGTCATATTCTTTGCGTATATTTGATCCGGATATTGAAAAGAATTAAATTTTCGCTGTCCTGTCAAGGGAGCCACTGGACCGCTCGTGTGGAAGCCTCCCTCTTGCCAACTAATGTCCCCATTGTGTGGCAGACTGACTTCACGCTGTTTCAGCCTGTAACGTTTTCTTCGCTTTAGGTTTCTAAAACAACCAACAGTCATTGCCAAACAAATTGAAGTATTCTAAGATACGCTTGATTATTGAACAAATGTGCTGTCTATTCTATTGTTCACTGGTCTTGGAGCTAGAAGAGGTGTAGAAGGAGTGATAAGTGTCCCATTTGTTCACGTCAACTTAGCGCAACGCACCGGCCCACGCTAAATGCTGAAATATGTGGAATAAAATATCGTGTTTTGCAAGTTTCAATTTAAAAAAAAGGCCAGACAGAAATACGGTTTAAAGAATATCCACGCATTTATAACACCTTCTAGGGAATATTTAATTTTGCAGGCTCGCCCCCGTTAAGATCTAAGGAGCTCAGCACCATACAAAAATACTCAGTGTGCAAATTACAAATATTAATTAGGTTTTATTATCTCAAAAACTTCAAACCATTGAAAACTGGAAATGATAACCCTTCACGAACTTTCCATTCGCAAGAAGCACATTATATATAACAGTGCGGTAACAACTCAGAGAAGAAGTTTAGAGACCCCAAGAAAAATAAAAAAGGGGGCGAGACCATTTAGGGCTGTGTCCGTATAGAGCAGCCTAATAATCCTCTGCATTCATCTCGTATTATTCAATCACCGACAAATTCACATTACACCATATTACACCAAGAGAAAAGCCTACTTTATTTTTCTTCCCTATTCTTCGCATGACACTAAGTCTGAGCACAGCCAATGTTAGGATCCGATGGAACCAGTGAAGCAGTGTCATAAGAGCATCGTTATGATGCACGTCGTATTCAGGTGTTTTCTGTAACCGGCTCCCCCAATCAGGCACTACAAACAGAGCAGCATCATTGCGCCTTCAGGGTGCGTGATCGGTTTAATAGGTCAGAGCAAACGCGAATAGAAGACGAGCTCCGTGACGATTACGTGCTAACACGTCCTTCGCGCCAGTACATCCACCGAGCCATTACATCAATCTATGCATGTAATGGCACGGTGCGCTCGTTGGATGTGTTGACCTGTACATGGATGTAGCTGAACGATGCATTCAGTTGTTCGTTGGATGTAGTTGCTCGTCGGATGTAGTTGCTCGATGGACGTAGTTGCTCGATGAATGTAGTCAACTTTCCGCAGGGGGAGGTGGGCCGGTCAGGATGGTGACGACCGATGATGGTGTTCGCCCGATGGAAGTCCCCAGGAAAGTCGAATAAGAAAAAAACAAACAAAGAAAAACAGAAGTTGTTCGATTCTGCTGGACACATTACGACATTAGTTGGTTTACGATGGCCCGTGTGGCCACGTTTAGTTTAAAACAAAACGACAAGTCAACAGTAATTTATATTACAAAACTCCCAAAATTCAAACCCATACTTTAGTCCCCCAGTCTCAAGAGCCGAATCTGCCTGATCTCAAAAGCCGAATCCCCGAAAATCCTCTCGGCAGCCCTTTTCCAGGCTCGTAGGGGCCTCCTTTCCCTCCAGAGACGGACCAATCACTTCAAATTTGCCCATTGTCACGTGGTACACTCTTACCCAATGGTCAGCGAGCTGTCAACGTGACCCCCCTCCAACACCTCAACGGTCAAACCCAAATTCTTCGTAGAGTCACCACATGCTTTCTTCGCCGTCTGGCTGGCGCCACCAAGTTAAGTTATTGCGTCGACTAAAAGCGAAGTTTCTACACTAAGCGGCAAAATACGCCGGACACAAGCACACCCGCTTAAAAGCCACAACTGAGGACAGAAGCCCAAGACAGGGGTGTTCCGGCGCCCCAAACTGAAACCCAATCCGTTTCTTAACGACCGGGGTCCGACTCTTCTCCACCGAGCCCCGCGGCTGCTCGAAGCCCCCCGCACGTGGGGGCGGAAGACACCCAAAAATGCACACACAAACATAGGCAGATAAAAAAACAATGCCGACGCAACGGTAGAAAGACAGACTTTTATAAAGCAAATCTTACTTATTTCTTACAAAATCCTGCGTTACTTAACAGATGTAATTGCTCATCCTTTCTGTTACGACGCCTAACGTACCATTACATTCATCGTGCTAGCGCATCCATAGAAGCCAAGATGGCCGTCATTAGGCGTTTTGCGTTATTCACGTTCTAATGCGGAGAGCCATTTTGTCTGCTTCTTTTGCAGGGGTTGTGGTGACGTCAGAATGCCGAGCTCTGATTGGCTATGATTGGGAGGATAGTGGGTAGACCTCAAGGTAGCTTGCTTCGAGGTCTACCCCCTATCCTTCATTGAGAGCCAATCAAAGCTCGGGCGTCTTCCTGACGTCACCTCAACGCCTGTGCAAGAAGCAGACGCCTCGCTCTCCGCATTGGTTCAGGAACCACAGGGAACAAACGGCAAGCCCCAGAACGTCCGCATATCACAATTAAATTCTATAAGGTATTCATCTTTCGTTTTTACTCAAAGTGAAATAAAAGGTGTAATTTTGGGTACTGTCCTAATTAAAACAAAGTAAACAAAGTATATATTTTGTTAATTTTGAGTGTAAAAAAACAGTACCTAAAGTTTGATCACCGTGGAAACAAAATAAGTAAACAAAGTATATATTTTGTTAATTTTGAGTGTAAAAAAACAGTACCTAAAGTTTGATCATTGTGGAAACAACAAGCAACGAGCCGACGACGCGTTTTCGGCTTCGGAGGCTTCGAGGGCCGCAAAAAGTGCTGGACCCACAAAGGGTCATTTTACTTGCCTTTGTAGATTCAATCTAGCGTATAACTTTTCAAACTAATGTGAACTATAATACAAAATAGTTAAACGAAGAAATAAACCGGCGTGATTGATGGATATATAGGCATGCATGATTTTGGACGAAGGTTCTCGATGGATGTGATAACACGATGGATGTGATGACACGATGGATGTAACACCACGATAGATGTAATGACACACTTTTGGTCGAAGTTGCTCGATGGATGTGATGGCGCGGTGGATGTAATGGCTGGATGGATGTAACGGCATGATGGATGTAATGGCACGTCAAATGAACTGGTAAAAAAATGGATCTAATGGCACGATGGATATGCTGGCACTATGGATGTACGGGCACGATGGATCTAATGGCACAAAATTGGACGTAATTGCTCGGGGGATGTAATGGCACGATTGATCTGTTGGCCAAAAGCCCTCCTTGGCAATCCACTTTGAGCGCTCCTTGACTCGATTGGCTTCATCCGATCATAGCGTGGGTTGCTTTTGGAATCAGAGTGAAATGAAGTGTCGCCTTAATCTTACAAGAGTTCACTATATATGGCACTTCGTGCCAGAAACGGTATCTTGGGTCGTGGGATAAAAAAAAATGTGTGAAATATGTCCGGTGTCTTTGGGGACTGTAAGTCGACCTCGCACAAATTCGCATTAAACTTAACCGTCTATGAAAAGTATGCATTTTTTATTAAAATAAGATAAAATAATATGAACGCTCCCTCTACGCTGCCTTGTATATCTGTCTCTGCCTATCACCGCAGGGAGGGATTAACTTTTTTTATTTTTTAGTGTTGGGAGTCTCACACTTTTCGAGGAAACTTTCCAATGAATCAACTTTTAGAAAATTAACATAATAAAACTTCAAACAAATCCCGATTAGAATCCGCGTCACTACCTCCCGTTCAATTCGCTCAAAGTGAAGGGTGGCCGAGTGTGTGAACGCACTGCATCTCGGAGCACGTAGAACGGAAAATTGAGTTAGCTGCAAAACTCAGCGATCCTAACTTCAATCCTCACCTCATGCAGCTCGTTTTGATCTGGATGAGCATCGCACCGGCGTGCGATCGTATAGCACTACTGCTTGACGTACATCAAAGCCTGAGGCATTCAGTCGTACCGTACCAGCTAAATATCTCACCCTCAGCGTAAACCAGTGCCGCCATATTTCAGAGGCTGACGGACCTTAAGCGCCGTTCACACTCTTGCAACCGAGTAAGACCGAGAGAGTCAAGAACGGTTTTTAAGCCTTTTGCGACGGCTTAGGACCGTCTCCACAGCAGCGCATCTGGTCCTACGCCGTCGCAAGAGGCTTGAAAATTGTTCTTGCCTCTGTCAGTCGTACTCGGTTGCACGTGTCTGAACGGACCTATGCTGTAGAAGTGATAACGCCATTTTGTTTTAACTGAGATGAACGATTAACTAGGCGCAGCTTAGCACAGCTGATGAAGACACAATCGTGCCAAAAGTACAACTTACAAATATTTCAAAGTATATTGGAATATTTATTTCATTCTTGTTTACATAAATCGCGATTAGCCGTTTACTCAATAACTCACGCCCACATATCGACGAAATCGTCGAAATCGCCAGAAGGAAGACCTCGTTGTTGGAACGACGCAGTAACAGTTGTTTTACGCTCGCAAAGTGTATCATGTGAAAAGAAAAAAAAAAGCTTTTTTTTTTTTCTTTGCGTTACAAACACGAGCTGTAGAAAACAGAACAAAAAAAGCATTGTCATCTTGATATTCTCGTTTGACGAACTGGGAGACTGTGAAGCTCACGCGTTCGACCAACACCTTGCTGTGGTCTCCGTCTTCTCTTCACAAAGTTCGCTTCCTTCGTTCGAGTATCACGTCCAGATTATGAGATGACCTCAGAACAATTCCCATCTCCAGCTGGAGTTCGCTCTCTGGGCGTTTCGATTTAATCTTGAAGCGCCTCATTACCTGAGCGACCAGCACCTTGGCTTTGAGCACCGCGAACCGCTGACCTGTAAAGAAAACCAAATGTGCGCAAGCTTTATTTCACATTGTAAAGCAGAATGTTCAATCTGTGAAAGCATACTCAAATAGTTATTTGATTCAATTCAATTCAATTCAATTTTTATTTCAAATCAAGTCATTCAAAATAAAGAGCTGGCCCAAAAAAGCAGCATTCTGCTTGTATGTGAGGCCATGCGACCAAAGGAAATACATGTTTTTAACAAAAAACGCTTCGCAGCACGAAAGAAAAAAAGAAAAGAAAAGAAAATTGACACTGCGTAACAATAAAAAAGCACAAAATTAGCACAAAAAAAATAAAGCAACATATTAGGGCATGAAACATAGGCACTCATAACCAGGTCTATTCATGCAACATTGAAACAAAAGTACGACATTTTTACAACGGTCAGGCTGCGATATCTACAACTCAGATGCTTGACACCAATTTTTTAGTTTTCGTTGCAATACGCTAGTGGATTTTACATTCATAAGGGACTCTGAACGTTAGTTAGATAAAGAGGGGATGTAATTATTTCTGTTTCTTTTCATACAGTGTGTATATTTTTGGAATGACGTACCTTTCTGTGTGTCTCTAAAATCTATTCTTATTTACGGCAGTTTTGGAGGAATTACTGAAATAGTTATTTGTTATTGCTACCTATGTAAAAAAAAAAAACGGTTTTAAAAAACAAAATGCCCAACTCTTTAGCTTTCTCTTGAGTTTCCAATTTTTGATATTAAGTTCCATATGAGATCTTGTTTAGCATCTTGTCGTTTAGCATCTGGCTATGTTCACTGACTGCTTTAGAAATGGAAGGCGTGGTGACACCCTAGCATGCTATCATTTCTTATAAACCAGTCATATTGAGGCATGAGTCAATATTAACACTGAAAAATGATTTATAACAAAGAAGATAATAAACAAAACGCTCTCAAAGGAACAAAACAAAGGGCTGTTTGACTCCCAAACTGAAATATATTAAACAAAGAGAAAGAAGAGGAATCATGCGTTATAAACGTAGAAGACACTGCGAAGTTATGTAAAAAATGTACAGACCAAAATATTGAAATCAAAATCGAGGAAAAGAAAGAAAAAGCGTAGGATACATCACATGCAGTTTAACTGGCAGTCTGGAAGGCTTGTACATTGCTTTGCAATGCTTCACAGTGCATATTATGTTTGTATTGTTTTACTTCGCTGCGTTTTTTTTTTCCTTATTTAATGTAATTTAGTTTCGAGTCAGCATATGTTTGCCCTGTGTTCCTTCCTTTTGTCCTGCCTTTTGAAGCACTGTTTCTTTTTTTTTTATCATATCCAATGATTATTAACGAGTCCGACTTACCACCTTGCTGCACGAAACAAAAAGTGCGTACATAGAAAGCCACGCCCTGCGGTTCTTAAACTGTCAGTTACTATGAATTGTAGACTAAGAATAGGATTCTTGCACGAGGCCATGATGCAAGGCTACTACAGGTTCATAAATTTCATCGGACCCTGCCAGAACCCATGTTGGAGGAATTCGTCGCTGTTATACTATGTTTTGTATGCTTTGGGGGAGCGTTCACATTGTAGTTTGTCCGCTGCCCGACATTTAAACTGGCCAGTTGCGCTTAAATGAATTGTTCCAGCCGAAAAATTCGGCGACAAAATGGAGCTACGGCCAGCAGTATTGGTTCTTCCAGACTTCTGGCAATCATTGGGAACCAGGACAAGGCGACACTCGAACAATTGGTTCGCCGGCGTCATGAATGGCCCCGACGGATACGCCGACGCCGACACATCTCGAACAAAAGGGAGCAGAACGCTGGTTATCCAGGGAGCTAACATTTCCGGGCCCGAGAGAAAGAACGAGAGAGAACGTGACAAAAGAGCAGAAAAAGAAAGCAGACGAAGGGTTACGCCTGTTCGTTTTGCTGCGACGTGTTGAAGTTGGCCGATCGGCTGTCAACTTTATTTAATTTTGTCAAAGCGCGATTTCGGTGTTTTTCCAACAAAGTATACACTCTAAGAAATGCCTGCCCGTCTACTTACCCGCAAAACACTCAACGAGCCAATCTCTGTGAGCTGCGAAATCAGCTCAGCGAAGGATGAGGCGGAACATCCGTTTAGACCTCAAAATTAAGTCTGCGCTCTGATATTACGCAATGCAAGCATGACGCTTTGCATTGCGTAATGCCACAGCGCAGACTTCATTGTTAGTTCTAAACGGATGTTCCGCCTCATCATCCGCTGAGCTGATTTCGTAGATTGCAGAGATTGGCTCTATGAGTGTTTTGCGGGTAAGTACACGTGCAGGCATTTCTTAGAGTGCAAGAAAATTAACAAGGTACAGACTGTACCAGTAATGTTATGCTGCTTCTCTGTGCATAGTAAGGCGTCGCTAGCGATATGTCCTCATCGGAGCCGCAAACTGGAACCACCGATATCTGCGTCTCTGCCTCGCCGTTCCGAAGCGGCCAAATGCATGAGACATTTCATTCTAGACTATTATACTACCTCTATTATCTCGCCAGAAACGCTTCGTGTCCCAACTAAGGGTTTCTGGACTGCCCTTCATGTCAGATGAAAAACCTCTTGGCGACTGACTTGCACAAGTAACGGTTCTGAAATATGGTTATACAAAAACGGCTTTATGACTCTATATGCTCTAAAAAAAGGGTGTAAAAGGGTGTATCGTTATACCCTTTGTCCCATATAATACACCCCAAAAAATAATTTCGACTTACAGAGGCCTATAGTCGAACAGACGGCCCCAAATATGTAGAGGGGCTTGATAACGGTGAGATATAACTTTTTAAATAGCTAAAGTACGCATCAAAGACCACATAACGAAAACACAGAGTTTTTGCAGTAGGGCCAAGAAAACCCCGATGATTTTTTGTTGTAGTCAGTAAAACGTACATTAGCTATTTTAATAAGTTGTACCACACGGCTATCAAGCCCCTCGTAAAATTTGGGGCCGTCTGTTCGACTGTCGGGCGCTGTATGTCGAATTGAAATTTTGGGGTGTATTATACGGGACAAAGGGTGTAACTATCCACCCTTTTGTACCCTTTTTTTTTTTTAGAATGTATGGCACTATACTGCTGCCTTAAAAAGAGGCCAAATATCTCCAACATGGCTCCGAGGCACTGATAGCAGACGAAAATGTTGTTTTCGATTTCGAGTCTAACCGGAAGTGACGTAAGGTGCAAGAAGCCTACTGTTTAAGGGGAACTCCAATCGAAAACGGAACCAAAATAAGTGGCAGGTGGTATGAAATATGATCAAAACATTACGCCGAAGTGAAGCTGCGTACTGCACCAAAACCGATTTTAAACATGAGACCAGCTGCTTTTTAGCAGATCAAGCCGGTTAGTCTTGAGTCAATCAACACTGGGTGACGCGTATTGCAGCACCCCCCTGACGTCCCTTCGCGGCCGTACAGCTGATGTTAGTATTGCCGTCCCTCTCAAGCAGATAGTTCCGGTTCTTACGTAGACGCCCAAAACAAAACGTTGAACCGCAATATTTATAAAACAACACACATTAAACACAAATTTTAAAAAATGAAAGCCGTTTACAATTCCCTGTAACGCCGGTTAGAGCGCAGCTCTTGAGGAGGAAGATGGAAGCGTACTGAGGGATAGGTGACTCCTTGAGGTCACGTCACGTGACCTCAGGGGGTCACGTGACCTCAGGGGCTCACGTGACCTTTGGGGGTCACATGACCTTAGGGGGTCACGTGACCTCAAGGGGGTCACGTGACTTCAGGGGGTCACGTGACCTCGGGGGTCACGTGACCTAAGGGGGATCACGTGACTTCTGGGGGTCACGTGACCTCAGGGGTTACGTGACTTCTGGGGGTCACGTGACCTGGGTGGGTCACGTGACCCCCCTGAGGTCACGTGACCTTAGGGGGGTCATTTGACTTCAGGGGGTCACGTGACCCTAGGAGGGTCATGTGACCTCAGAGGGTCACGTGACCTCGGGGTGTCACGTGACCTGGGTGGGTCACGTGACCCCCTGAAGTCACGTGACTTCTGGGGGTCACGTGACCTCGGGGGGGGTCACGTGACCTCAAGGGGGTCACGTGACCTAGGGGTGTCACGTGACCTGGGTGGGTCACGTGACCTCGGCGAGGTCACGTGACCTCGCGGTTACGCCGACGGCGACGCCGACGGCCACGGCGACGCCGGTCAAGGCGGAAACAGGCCCCTAAGAGCTGCGCTCTAAAAGAAGCATATACCTTGTAAGTCAGGAACACTGACTGAGCTGAATACGGTCGTAATCCCGAATACGAAAATATGGACCGGAATTTCCCTTTAAAGGAAGACAACAAAATTTCGGCGCTTATTTTTTGGTCTATACGGGTTCAAAGGAGCAGTATCACATCGGACACACCAATATCTCGTTTAAAAAGACACGAAAAAAACTTTTAAAACCAATTAAGCGATTAGCAGATAGCACCAGGTGGATGTTGCTAAAGCCTCGTTTCTAATACCCGTCTAGGAACCTTGACAGGTAGTGACCGATAACTGTATCGCTTAGAACTATGCCTTCTTTGAAGCTGACGTCGCCCCGACTGCTCTACGGCCAGCACAAGAGAAGAGGGGAGGGAGGAACTCCCCACTCAACGGGACTCTGTTTTGTATGTCGCAGACGTCGCTATTCTCTACAAGATTACAGAAGATTAACCCGTCACTCAAAATTCGCACAAAAGCAGCTTTCTGGTTAGTTGCGGTGGCCCGATCGCTGGCGTGCTTCGGCCGCTTCGGTGGCTGGAACGGCTAGGGCATCCTGACGACGTCAGCATCGCCGCAGCTTTGCTCATCCCGAGACCGACTACGTCACGATTGCACCGGATGTGACGGGCTCTCCGCTTGCTGCTCTCCGAGCGCTTGCCCAGTGTGGGCCGTTTATAACCAAAAATGCAGCCATCAGGCTCAAAATACAAACGTGCGATTATCATCTATGGATATTGTGAATCATATTCGGCTTATTTCTGAACACGACGGGCATATTTCAAATATCGTTGAAGTATCTATACCTTTAAGGAATCATACTGACACCAGTAAAATCTTTAAAATATAGAGCACCGTAAAAAGGTTCAGTGAATAAATTAGTTTCACTGCCCCATTTTGTCTTTTGACGCTAATGCACTTTTACCGTAATGCAGGTTAAGAAACAATTTAATTATTATAGCTTAAAAAAAATGAAAGCCGTTTACAACTCCCTGTAAAGCCGAATTAGAGCGCAGCTCTAGAGGAGGAGGAGGGAGGGGTACTGGGAGGTCAAGTGACCTCGGGTGGCGGGGGGTCACGTCACCTTGGGGGGTCACGTGACCTTGGGGGTGGTCACGTGACGTCGGGGAGGTCACGTGACCTGGTGGGTCACGCGACGATGCCGATGATGACATCAGTGACGTCACTGATGACGTCATCACTGATGATGACGATGCGGATGCCGGTGGCGTCATCAGTGACATCACTGATGACGTCATCACTGATGATGACGATGGCTATGCGTATGCCGGTGACGTCAACAGTGACGTCACTGATGACGTTATCACTGATGATGACCATCGTTATGATAACGTCATCGTGACCCTCGTGAGGGTAACCCTAGTAACCCTTGTGGGGGCAACTCTCGTGACCCTCGTGAGAATAACTCTCGTGACCCTCGTGAGAATAACTCTCTTGACCCTCGTGAGGGTAACTCTCATAACCCTCGTGACCCCCATGATGGTAACCCTTTTGAGGGTAACTAAGCCTCGTAACCCCTGGTGAGGGTTACGAGAGTTTGTAACCCTCGTAGCCCTCCTGATCCTCGTGAAGGTAACCCTCATGAGAGTAACCCTCGTAACCCTCGTAACCCTTGTTAACACAGAGGTTCGGGCGAGTTGGTTGCTCATGATGTACAGGGGGAACAGCGCACCCGCAGAACAGTCATTCAAATCAACATACACACAAAAGAAAGAAACACTGACCATAAGACCACAAGGTCAGCGCTGAGTAAGTGTTTCTTTCTTTTGTGTATATGTTGATTTAAATGACTGTCCTGCGGGTGCGCTGTTCCCCCTGTACATCTCGTAACCCTCACGAGGATTACGAGGGTTACTCGCGGTTACGCCGACAGCGACGGCGACGGCGACGCCGCTCAAGCCGGGAACGCGTGCCTAAGAGCTGCGCTCTAAAACGGATTGATTCAGAGTAACCGAAATGTCGGTTCCCAGGAGCCAATATTTTACCGGTTAAATAAATTGCTGCTACCCCAGCATTTTGAGGGCACAATATTTACGATTGTTAGACGTAGTGATTACCTAAATTGACCTTGGCGTAGAACGTGTTTTTTTCCGGCAAAACTGCGGAGATATTTTATTAGTTACAGATACCCTTTATTGTTTCTTTTTATGGTTATCATCTTGTTCAGTTACTTGCTCTCTAGCACTTCTCCCTCCAAGTTAGGCAAACGACAAAGCTGAGAAAGCCTATTCGTTCGTTTACGCTGGGTGATGGGTGGTTGGAAGACCACGACGGTTGTCGCATTCCAACCACTTGCAGTACCATCCAAATCCCGAGAAACGAAGGTCAAGAAACCTGACGCTACCAAGATGAACACGCGCGCAATTCTATAGGACGTGCAAGCAATGTAGCATATTGAGAACCACAAGACAATGTGGGATACCATCATCCTTTAATAATTTAAAGACTAAAACACCAAACAGACACCGTGTATCATTTTAATTCAATCTCAAAACCTACACATGTATATCAGAGAAAATACAGTTCTAAATGAATATTTTGTAAATAATCTTCAGAGATAGAAGCTCGCTCCTAACCTCTCTTTGGTCCGCTCCCCCCTTAGAGGCGCTTCATTCCAGACATTCCATTCCAAAAACATTTTTATTGCGATTTCCCACTTTGGACCTCTCGTTAGAAAATGTCCAGACTGCATTTGAAATAGTTTATAACGAGCGTGACGGTACATAGATACAAATACATGAAAGGATAAAACATCGAGGACGGGGGCGGAAACAAACCTCTTTTCATTAAGCGAAACCATAGAACGACACAAAATAATACTGCCCCGCCCCCCCCCCCCCCCCCCCCCTCCCAAGGGTTCAAGCTTGTCTAGAAAGAAAAGGAGAAAATTGTTGGAGGAAAGGGATATTCTGCGTCATTTAATATTTTTCTTTTCTATACTTATTTTGTGGCATTCTATGTTGTTGCTCAATGGAAGAAGTTCTGTTTTATCCCTGTCCTCGTTGTTTTAGCATTTTATTCATGCGCATATGTAGTCGTACGATTTCAACATCTAGGGTACCTTCGTTTGGATACTATCTTTCGTCGTTTACGATATTCAGGGAAGTATCTTACGAAGAGTAACATTTTTGTTTTTAGAAGTTGCGAGTCAGATATGTTACTCTCAGTTACTCAGTAACTGAGTAAGTGAGTCTCTAAGTTACTATAAAACAGAAGCTATCTAGATTTGAGCCTTATAGTACACACTTATCTATAGGTAGAAGGATCGAGTGAATGACAAATTACGATCATAATAGGGTTACCTTTGAAAATACGATGTGCGCATGGACTATCAGCAAGTGAAACATCATGCTCGTTTTCTAATCATATTCCGTGATTCGACATTTACTGCGATCATTCTATTGTTCGCGGTGATTGGCCGTCTCTTTATTTTACAGATAAATGAACTTATATATGTTACGTTTATCGTTGTTGCCGATTGGCAGTTACTCGTACCTAAAAATGAGCAAACATGAAGACAACATTAAGAAACTGCTAGGTACAACATTCATCAGAAAATCTGATGACAGGTGACACGAGTGAAAGCGATTTCAGATATAGATGTCATAACCCGGCTGGTTTGAAGCTAAATATTTATGAGTTAAGAAAAAAATGAAAATGACGACCGATAGCGGCACCTTAACTCACCGATACAATTCCTCGGCCCTCCAAAGAAAGGAATGTAGGCGTAACGATGTCTTTCGTAGTTTTCCTGGAATCTTTCAGGAACGAAGTTGTTCGGGTCTTTGTAGAAGTTCCGGTGTCTTTGTACGAAGTAGATCGCCGTCGTTACTATTGTTCCTCTGGGGATAAGCTGTTCGCCTGGTAATACGACAAGAAATCATATTATGCATATTGATTTCTGAAGAATCCTGCTAACACATATGTGTGATCACACATACCAAGGCAGAAGGTACTAGATTCTATACAGTTAGTTCCACTGGTGCCTGTTGTCACTGGCAGCTTAACAGGGAGTGACTTATAACGTTCGCACTTTGTGATTTATTTCAGCGCAATCTCATCGGCTTACGCCGTAGTCCTATTGGCTTAGGGGTTATAAAACGGCACTCTGTTTTCGTCAAAAGTGGCTTAATAAAGCTTTCTGTGAATGTAGACTTTACATATACTTAAAGGAGCTGTGCAACAATTTCAGTGCTTTGCTTACATAATTTGGGAGTTGGTGTCTCGACCTTTCTAAACTAAAGACCAAAAAAAAAATGCTTTTGCCTGCATGCCTTAGTTTTATTTTAAAAGTTGACAAGGATTGAGGTTTTCGGCAACTCTCAATTCCTTCACCATCTTCCGAGTCATGCGCACTGTGACGTGAATGACGGACGCGCGGGGTTCCAGCGTAGCTCTCTCTGCAGAGCCATCAGTGAGCAGCGAGAACTCACCCGCTCGCGACCACGTGACCACGCGCTTGCGCAGCGCAATCAACAAGGTGAGAGCAGTAAAGTCTCGTCGGGGTCCGGCCATCCACGTCCGGCTCTGCCCCGTCCCCTTCCGACTTCTGGCCGCTGTTCGCGGTAGCAGATAGAGCTGACGCTTTTGCTTGCCTCGGATAGATGGCGCCACTAAAATTCCTTATAATCTCCACCTCAGAAAGACGGCCGTGCGAAACACCAGTGTCCTTCGCAAGCGTAACCTATGGAGCTGCAATCGATTTCTGGTTACAAGGGAACTCTGGAAAGCAGCCATGGTCCCTGGCCTAACGTTTGCTAATGCTGTTGTGTGCATTCCTGGAGACGTGAGGGACATTCTGGAGCGCCGGCAGCGCGAAGTTGGGAGGCAGGCCCTAGGCTGCCATGGCATGGTGGCGAACGAAGCGGTCCAAGGAGATCTTGGATGGTCATCGTTTGAAGCCAGAGAAGCAGCTAGCAAGATCGGCTACGACGGGCGTTTGCGACTCATGGACCGAGGACGGTGGGCCAAACGACTATTTGTGTACATACACTTGACAGGGATACAGACAAAGTGAAGAAAGCGACTGTACCAGCTGGAAAAGAAATATGGCTTCTTTACTGTGCCCGTGGCTGCCACTACAGAGCAAAAGTGGGAACTGGAGGTGCGGAAGAGAGTGCGCGAGGAAGAGGCTGTGCAGTGGTCGGAGGCGGCCCGCTCAAAGTTAACCCTGCAAGTGTACAACCGCTGGAAGAATGAAATATCGACAGAGACAACCCTGTATGATAATAGCCTGGGAAGCCGCCTGCTTTTTGAAGCACGTGCGGGAGGGCTAAGAACGCTAGTGTACAGGCAGCGTTTTGACCAACAGGTACAATCAACATCATGCCGGGCATGTGGCGAAACCGAGGAAACTATCAAGCATATTGTGCTCTCCTGCCCAAGTCTCGTACCAAGACACCCGGTAGATTGGGGCCAGGCGCCAGACAACGGGCTGCATCTAGACGAGGCGCAATCACACGAACAATTTCTGGCAGAAGCCCTCGGCTTCCGAGTTGGGGACACAGGCAGGGATGCTTTGTGCTGGCCCAGTGCGGACTTAAATCGCGCTGCAGTGGCACTGCAGCCCAGCTGCAGCGACGCAGTCGAGAGGACTAAAAGGAGGCTGGAGGACTGGTGGCGAAGAATGCAACAGTAGTGCAATTTTTTTTCTCTCCGTTTTTATTCGGCTAGGTCTGATTTCTATTCAAACCGCCCGCTTCAAAGGGAACAGCCATAAAATCATCATCATCATCATCATATTAAAAGTTTTGTCGATGATACCAAGTCTTTGACGAATTTATAATTATGTTGGAACCACAAGATTTATAGAAAAATTACCTTTTATATTTGCACAACTTCCTATCTTTCTAAAAGTCCCCCGTTGACGTCGTGCCGCGTGGTCCTCATTGCCGACGCTCGCGGCTGCAGGTCGGGAAATATTAAAATTTTTGCCTCGCAATTACGCGGTGGAATCGGAACATTTCGAAGGAAGGACATGCGTTTTCTGCCCTCTATGACAAGGTAAACAATGTCAAAAGTAGAAGATGAAAATTCTTTTAAAGTTAAAATCGTTGGCCAGCTTCTTCAAAACTTGCCTATTTTCATGTCCTCTTCAATGCGACGTGCCACCAGCGGGACTGAAGGATACAGTCGCAATGTTTCCTTCAAAATATGCACAAAAATAACAGTTATTAATTAGGCGATAGTAAAAGTTCCCAATCTGCATAAATGTATATAGCTTATCGGGTTGTTTGAAGTTTTTTTTTTATTTATTACCTTAATCACGCAGTCCAAGTACGGCAGGCCCCTGAGGTCATCCAAAGTTACTGGACGGTCAACATCGTCTCCAAAAACCCTATCAAGTTCTTCGTGCAGCTTTTCTTGAACCTCCAGGTGATTTCCCAGAAGGTACAGGCAAAACGCTGCCGCCGCGGCGGTTGTATCGAATCCCTGCGTTGATGAGCAGAACATTGCGGAGTAGTCAGTAATCTATTTGAAGAAGGTATACAGCGCAACGTTTTACCAATGTTCAGTTTATGGAGAGAATGTGTCAATAGACTCGACTTGTAAAGAATATGTTTCGGCAAAGTAATCGTGAGATATGCATATATTATTTTCGATACGATATTTCAGCGATGATATTAACACTAATATGTTTTTTGTTCCCTTTAAACTCACCTGATTTGATTCTTTCTTTGGTTATAACTTTTAATTACAGCTATAATGCCATTTAAGAAAGAAATCTATATCAGGGTTTCGAAGTCAGCGTTCAAATAAAACAGGGTCTCATTGGTGTGGCTATTGATAGACCGCTGGAAATATTTTTAAACACTGAATGACCGAGCTGTGGTATTTTCATTAAACGAAACATTATGTTTGATATCTGAACTGCTGCGTTAAAAAAAAAAAAATATTCTTTACGCTCACCCCAGAAAGTCAAAATTTAAAGGTAAACTGAGAAGCAGATTATTTCTCTCAAAGTCAACGAGTAGGTATTTTTTAACCCTTAACCCATCATTTTATACCCTTAACCTAACATTTTATTACCCTTAACACCTTTTAAGCCATAACCCAACATAGGCAGGTTATATACTCTATATCAGGGGTGAATCAGTTAACAAAGGGTGTGACAGCAAATATAACAAAATTAAATAGCGCTCCCTCTAACCAAGCAGAGATATATTTTATGGATCAAATTAAAGACTCACAGCCAACAATATTGTGACGGTTTCGTCTAATATGTCACTCTCAGTAAGCGTTCCGTCTTGCATGTGCATTTGAAGAAGAATGTCCATAAAGGACCTCGTAGAGTTCCTCTCGTGGCCCTTCTCCATCAGTTCTTCTTTGCGCGCCGTAATTATCTGGGATTGAACGCAAAAATAAAAAAAGTAAAAGTTAACACTTCGTTTTCTTTATATTTATAGGATTTCATTAAACTTACCTCGTCAAAGACAATTCAGATTTAATATTTGACAAGGCGAATTACATTCCAACTTTCATTGATATTTACATTTGCGAGAACTATGCACCAGGTGTAAAATAGTCCACATATATCCAATATATGTGTTAGAAATTGTTTAATTAAAAAAAATTTAAATAATGCACACCGCTGCAGGTGGTACAGTTACGCCAAAGGCGCATATTGACGCTGCACCTGGAAATACGAGATATTACTTGAATATATTTAAGTATAGGTCTTGTTAAGAAGACACCGCCGAGCCTAATCTGTGTCCTCCTCTCTTAAAAGTGCCTGCGCGTCTACTTACCCGCAAAACACTCGAAGAACCAATCTCTGTGATCTACGAAATCGGCTCAGCAATAGAGGCGGTAAAACATCTGTTTAGACCTCAATATTAAGTTTGCGCTGTTTATATTACGCAATGCAAGCATGACGCTTTGCTTTGCGCAATACGACAGCGCAGACTTCATTTTTAGGTCTAAACGAATGTTCCGCCTCATCACTCACCGAGCTTATTTCGTAGATTGCAGAGATTGGTTATTTGAGTGTGTAGCGGGTAAGTAGACGCGCAGGCATTTCTTTGAGTTTAAGTTACAGCGATGGAACGGATGCAGTTTTTTAAATACCAAGGTCTAAAAATATTTAACCATATATATATATCAGTGGGAGTAAGATTATTTAAATACAAAATTGCTTGAATGGATATTAGTAGTAGGAAACCTGTACCAGCTCGGCCACCTGTCAATCAAAGCCCCAAGGGGGCGGGGCCAGCCCCGACCAATCACAGAGCCGCAGGGCGGGGCCTTTTCCCTCTCTCCCATCCCAGGGACCAATGACAGGGCATGGGCGTTGGCCAGTGACCAATCGGAGCTCGCCCGGGTCCCGCCCCCCGAGGTACGCGGTACAGGTGTGAGGTTACGTACCAAAGACCTCACACCTCAAACCTCAAACCTCAGACCTCAAACCACAAGCGTGGTTCACCAGGTGTTGACAGCTGTGGTCATCCTCTGATAACAATTACGTGATGTCACCAGGTCCGAGCTTCGTCCGACAGAGGGCGCTACAGGACTTGAATTGCGGCGCTCAGGGCGTCTCACGTGTGATGCCACAGAGTTCAAGCTGCGTCCGACAGAGGGCGCTGACGTGATGTCGCACAGGGTTTGTGCTGCATCCGAAAGAGGGCGCTGCGCTGCGGTCACATGATGGTCATGTGACATTACTTGAATCGCTGAGCGGTAAATGCATTTTAATCGCTAAAAAAGGCTCCGCGGCCGGCTGGAAATCCACCTCTCTACCTTGGGCACAGCGGCTCGACACTAACCCCCTGAGCCACGAGCACATTGCTTCCGAGACCGCTTAACTTGTCTTAGTTGTCCGTGTGTCTGTGTGTGCAATCCAGATCACGTGTTTTCCTGCCACTTGGATTTTGTAATGCGTTTAAAAAACAGGATGCGTCATTGCCGCAGGTCATGTGACGATGGTCGTGTGACGTAATGCATCGCTGGGCGCTAACGTTGCTCGTCTTCCTATCACGTGATTTCGCGCGCGCGATTGAAGCGGTGTTCGCGGCGTCGTAGCCTCGTGGCGCCCCCATTACTGTCGCATGTTTACGCAATGACCTATATATATGTGGTATATGACGACGGCGCACCGTCATTATGGCGGTGACGCTCGCGTCCGTCAAGGCTCTTTTCGCATTCATCATGGGCTCCTTTCTAATTGTCTGCGTGATCACCATTGGCGTCAGCATGTCGAACGCGAGCCTGCACGGAAATTGCACGCTCGAGATGAGTCTGAACAAGGAGATCAAAGTACATCAGTGTCCTGCACCCGTGCTAGCAATACGTGTATGGCGAAAAGAGGGTTATCCGAAAAGAGCCAGTGTAAATTTGGACAGGAATCAGACTGAGGCGCTGAAGCACTGTCTCAATGAGCTGGACGTTCTTGCTCCCCGGAATTATGACCTCGAGTGTGAAGACAGCTGCATCATCAGCGAGTCCATGTACCTTCGAAGATGTCCTCTGAACATCTATCAAATTCGGCGACTGATCGAAGGAGGGAAAGCCTCATTGTGCGGAATAAATCTCGATCGTGAAGCTATATTGCTCCTGTGAAAATTTTTGAATAAAAAATAATAAAACTCATTACGCGTGTGTGTGTGTTTCGCGCGATCTGTGTGCACACAGAGCCCACGATCGCTCGACGCATTGGGTAAAGCACGCTACCATTTTTTTTTCTTTACCTCTTTTGTTGCTCGAAATCCTTCGCATTAACCCGACTGTTTTGCGAAGAATCGTACAGCCCCTCCATTTTACGAGGTATTGCAGATGGGGCGCACGTCGGCGTCTCAAAATCTTCTCCACGATCCAGGTCTTGTTTTCGGCCAGGGAAACACGCTGCAATCAATTGACAAAGCTCATTGGCGAATGGATTCAAAGTGAGGAAGTGCCAGTGGTGAGCGTGAACGAAGAGGCTCACGGGTCGGCCTCTCACTGCGCGATTTGTGGCGAATTGTTTGGAAATCGAAAGAGAAAAGTCAGAGATCACGACCACTTCAGCGGATCGTACAGGCAGTCGTTGTGTCAGGGATGCAATTTAAATCTGAGAGTAAACAAGAACGTCATTCCAATGCTCGCGCACAACCATTCGTATGACATGGCCTTTATACTACCGAAACTCGACTTATTCGAGTCTGAAGATATTAAAGTGCTCGCCACTAGCTGCCAGCAATTTAGGTGACTCGACGTGGGTAACCTGCGGTTTCTCGACAGTCTGGCATTTCTCCCCACCAGCTTGGATGCGCTGGTTCAGGACCTCCGTTCCAAGGGACTAGAAAACCTGTGCTGTCTAAAGCAGGCTTTTCCGCAGCACGTTGAGCTTCTGGCGCGGAAAGGCGTATTTCCCTACGACTACGTGACCAGTTTCGAGGCTTACCGGAAGCCCGAGCTACCGCCGCCCGAGTTGTTTTACAACAAGCTTAACGACAGCCAAATTTCAGAGGAGGACTACAGTCACGCCCAAACCGTCTTTGAAACATTTAATTTCAAAAGCCTAGGAGAATACAGTGACTGCTACCTGCAACTCGACTGCCTACTTCTCACCGACGTGTTCCGAAATTTCAGGAAATGGACTCCGGACACGTACGAGCTCGATCCGTTACACTACGTTTCCCTCCCCGCGCTCAGTCTCGCCTGCGCACTTAAACAAACTGGGGTGAAACTGGAGCTGCTCGACGACGTGGATGCGTATCTCTTCATCGAAGCGGGTTTGCGAGGAGGAATCGTTCCATGTGCCATTCGCAACACGAGGGCTAACGTGCCAGGAACCGCATGTTTCGATCCGAACACGGCGGTTTCTCAAATTTTAGACCTTGACGTGAACGGTCTTTACGCTTCCACCATGCGACAATCCCTTCCATGCGCAGATTTTCGCTGGCTAGACCGCGAAGAAATCGACGCTCTCCACTTCCAACAGGTTCCTGACGACCCGCCCGAGGGTTACATTTTAGAGGTGGACCTCGACTACCCTCGGGAACTACACGATTCGCACGCGGACTTTCCCCTGGGTCCCGAGAAACGAGGAGTCCCGCTCGAATGGCTCTCACCCTATCAAAAAGCGCTTGTCAAAAAATTTCACCTACCCCAGCGAGAGTCTGAGCGAAAGTTGCTTCTCACCTTTTACCCGAAACGCAATTACATTATCCACTACCGAAATCTCAAGCTGTATCTGGAGTTGGGCTTAAAACTAAAGGTCATTCATCGCGTTTTGAAGTTTTCGCAGAGGGCATTCCTCAAAGATTTCATCGACTTCAACCACAACCTCCGAAAACAGGCGACAAATGCTTTTCAAAAGAACTTATCTAAGCTCATTATGAATTCAATTTATGGTAAAACTATCGAAAACCCACGTCAGTACAATAACGTTGTCATTAGCGTGAGCGAGGAGGAAGTGCTGAAAAACCTGCAGAAACCTAACCTCAGACAGTTTGCGGCAATTAGCCCGACCGTGGTGATCTTTCAGTTTTCCCAGAGAACCCTACACTTGAACAAACCCGTGTACGCGGGCTTCTCTATCCTAGAGATGTCCAAACTGGTCATGTAAGAGTTTTTCTACAATCAGGTCAGGCGCGTTTTCCCTGACGCTCGCGCAGCGTACAGCGACAAGGACTCGTTCATCCTCCAAATCACCGACCCGGATGTAGACTCGAAGCTCGGGACCCCTGCCGAAACTCACCTGGATACTTCTGGGTACCCAGCCGATCACCCCTTGTTCTCTCCCGAAAACAAAATGAAACAATGAGTGTTCAAAAACGAGCTCCCAAAAGATCACATTCTTGGATTTGTTTGTTTAAAACCTAAACTCTATTCGATGGAACTAGCCTCTAGAGAGCACTACGTGAGGGCGAAATGAGTGAAAAGTTGCGAGTCTCGTAAGCTAACCTACGAGCTGTACGTTCAAACTATCGAGCAACAAACTCTGCACAAGAACACGCTGCGGACTATCGCTCGTAAGTTGTGCGAGAACAAGACTGTTGTCGTGGAGAAGATAACAATCAACCCGTTTGACAACAAGCGCTTCATCGACTCTGACGGTGTTTCAACTCTTCATTTCGGACATTGGAGCCTTTTGTGAAGTGCTTTTTTTTCATTTCAATCTGATGCATGTGTGTGTGTGTGTGTGTGTGTGTGTGTGTGTGTGTGTGTACAGAGGGTATTGTAAAAAGCCATTTTGATGTAGCACGACGTTTTGTTTTGTTTTTTTCACCAAGTGTTTGATATTTGTATAAAGAGCTGTTGCGCGCCATCGGTTTCCCCATATTTTGAGAATATCTTAGAT